CTCGAATGTAAGTCAAACACGCTGCAACTCGGTGTAAAGCTCCTAGACGATAGTTGCCACTGATTTAGCATTTCGCAATCCAGATGTCCCCCGCTAAGATGTGTCATAAATCAAAATATCGATGCACATCGGCTAGAATACGTCGTTCCGTCCCTGGGGCGTTGCTGGATCAATGACGTCACCGAGAGAAGTAATTTCCTCACCAAGCTATGATGAAAGGCTTGGCTATGTATAGCTGTATTTCAAACGATCTTTCAGTCTCAGGCTTTCTAAAACCGTTGGACGTTTTGTTTTACTTTCAAGCTGCAACGTTCCGTCGAATGACAGTATGCACAACAATGAAGTATCTCTTCCGAGGCCGATCTTCACCATGATCATGGGTCAAAGAGCAACCGCTAAGACGCATTAGTACATGGCAATGCCAATGCCGTGAGGAAGTTAAAAGAGCCCTTTTGACTGGTCGCATGCAAATGGAGAAACAACGTCCAGTCATCAACTTCATGAACAGGAGGACACAGGAATGACTTCATGAGGAGAGTGCAAGAAGGACGGTAATTCGAACGGTCACTTTGGTGCGCGATGGTAGGAGGAGGTTGAAGCATGCCTGACTCAACGGCATAACGGAGATTTATATCCTTCTACATTTGACAGAAGACATTTTCCCAACAAATCTGCCAAACAAATTCTACATATCTTCCGACAAGTCCATGAAAAATATTTCATAAAATTTTAGCTCCTGAGATCTTGTTCATACGAACTCAGCACATTGCCGGTGGGTGCATTGATGGAAAGGACAATTTTATTACTACAGCATTTGTTCATTTTTCGATAATAGTATCTTATGCTCATTCATAATAGCGACTACATCACTTAATCATATCATGATAATAACAGTAATTATGAGCAGCGTAAAAGCTAAAACTGTGTGATAGCTTATCATATGATGGAGAAGAGAAATGTGGTATCCGAATATGACGAGTTGACTGAGGAAGCTCTTCATGAGCGTCACTACGTCGTCGTTACATCTGGTAATCGGACTGGAAAGCTTGGCTCCGAGAGGACGGGTTGTTTTTAAAAGCAAAAGGATTTGCGATGACAATATAAGATCGAGTGGGAATTAAGAAGAACTGTGGAAAACCTCTCGAATGTTCGGAAATACAACGGAATCGATCCAACACATTTCCGAGGGTGCTCCGGTTTGACTGACACTGAATACCTCAAACAGCTCACTGGCGTTGCACAGATCATACAACAAAAATTGATACTTGAAACGGACCTAATCTCAGAAACGACGTTGTATTATCGATATCAGCCAATGAGCGCTCTTCAGAATGGCTAATGCATCATCTGTTTCGACCACCCAATACTAACAGACTGTGTTATTTATCGCAGTCATCCAAACATTTAAACTCCGTTAATAAAAATGACGTTTGAGATTATTTATGCTGCTGTACCATTTAATTACGTCAGAGCTTAAGTTAAGAAAATAAGAAAACACGAATATCTGGGTATCGATTTGAAACAAATATGTCACATTAAAACTGGGTGAATAACGCCAGTGGTAACCTCTCCAAATGCCCTCATTTTGAAATCAGTGAGGACACACTTGGACCACAGTAAGCTTACAAAAAGTCATTACAAAAGTGCAAAAAAACAATTGCTTTGCATGCAGCCAGAATTGTGCGGAAATTCATGGACATTGCAGATCTGTAGCAGGCTGCGGCTGGTTGGCTATGCTTAGTCCCTGGCCACTGGCGAAATACATTTTGTAGTGAGAAGGTGAAATAAATTAGATGGAGCAGAAAAGGACAATGCTACGGTCAACAGTGATAAGTTAAGCTATGCCACCTAATGGCAAGAAGTGCTCAGACTCGCCAAACTTTCCTCAGACGACTTGATACCACAGGTGATTCGATTATGCAACGGACGGGAAAGAAAAGAGTTTGTGACGGATGAAACATCGGCCTGTTGGTCTCCCTTAACACTTTTCTGACTGAGCGCCATTTGTGGCGCTCTTCTTCTGACGAAGCCGATGATGTGACGGCAATCTCTGTGTTTATGCTGTCAGCCAGAATAGCCGTGTTGATACTCTATCTATTGTTTGGCAAACACTATTATGGCGTGCAATCTTTTGCCTCCTTCCACCGAAGTGGTACTTATTTAATTACCTCAGAAGGAAGAATGGCCAGTCACCTGATCGGGTTCAAAATCAGAGGATAGCGATTCTGAATCTAACGACTTGCCGATTTATATAGCCAGTAAGGTAAATTTGCCATTTCATTTCAACCAATTCGGTTCGGTCTTTGAAGGTGAAGCGACCTCAAGCTGCATGGGAATGTTGTCAGCAATAAGTAAGGATTGTGAACCTTATTTACGGTTTAAATTTGGGCTTTT